AGTTTCTTCACTACGACCGTCTCGCCTAAGTACGTCGCGAGCCAGACTGTGCCGTACGCTCCTGCTCCTAGCGGTCGAATGGGAGCGATGTTCTCGGCGTCAATCCGCCAGGAAGAAAGCGCTTCTTCGTCTTCGTCCGTCAACACCATCCGGTTGTTCGGAGCGCCTCTCCGACGGCCTAAGTGGTAGATCGGCAAGGTCGGAGACCCAGCCTCTAGGTCCACGTCCACTTGCCTCCGCTTCTGCCGCTTGCAACAGAAGAACATGACAACGATAAAGGCCAGTAGAAGCACCAGTGGGATGCTGATGCTCAGCCACAGCTCCAACGTCTTGTCATCCGACGTGTCGGAAGTGTCGGCCGCACTGCCGGTACTGTGCGAATGAGTATCGGAAGAACCTGTGTCGGAACCTGTGTCGGAACCTGTGTCGGAACCTGTGTCGGAACCTGTCGAGATTGCCTGCTGCAACTCCGCAGGTGCTTCGGCGATGACGCCTTCCAGCCATCTGCGCATCGCTGGAAGATTGCGATAGTGCGTGGTATCCTCGAATGACTACCGGTGCTTCTTATTCCGAGTCCGGAACGTGCGTCCGGTGGGTTGCTGTGTTTTTGATCGCTCGGTCGGTGGCTTCCGGCCGCCAACGACCCAAAGCCCAAGTGTCTTGACCGAACAACTAGCAATCGATTGAGCAGAGACCGACTCGACCGACGGACGATTGGCTCGTTGGAGACTTGACCAAAGCGACATGTGCACCGTAAGGATTCCGGAAGCAGGATTGGCCACATTACATACGGACTCGAGAAATCGCGGCATTGCAAAGTTCCAGAAAAATGGTTCCAATTTACGGAACCTCTCGTTCGGCATACTCTGGCGGTTTTAGGTGAAGTTTGTGTACATACAAATGAAGTGTTGTTTGGAAGATAGCCTGTGATATCTCATATGTGGCGGATTGCCGATTTTTTCGTGTCGACGACTAGGCAATTTGTGGAGATAGCGGGCTCCGTTGCCGTCTTTATCGGTTTCCAGCCACGAAGAAAGCGTTGTGTCACAAATTACGTCGGGGATTACATCGTGAAGCCCGGCTTCGAGAAGATTGAAAAGCTCTTATCTTTAGTCTTTGCCTACGAGGGTGTGGCTCGTGTTGGTGTTTGTGGCAGATTGCTCGAGATTGCGGGCTCTCTGAAAGAGTGGCGCTCTGAGACTACAGTGGGCTCCAGGATAGAGGTCTTGAGAGCGAATCCATTCGCTAAAGTTGATTGATTCTGGTCATTACTGGTAATGGATCGCGGTCATTATGGAGACGACGAGGTAGAAGCTGGAAGGACGAGCTTCACACAACCCGCTGGAAGATACTGGTGAACTTCGCAGGTTGCCAGGATACAATTCATGAAAAGCAAGTTCACATCGTGCCGAGCCGCGTACTGGTAGTCGGTGTATAAGGCGTGGAAAACTCGAGCGGGAAAGACGGAGGTATCCTCGCTCTTGCAACGAGCAGAGAGCTTCTAACGCTGTATTGAGATGACTTGAGATTTATCTCAACTGAAGCCTACGCACGAGTTGCTGCAAGCTACAGTGTCGTTCAGATCCAATTGTAATCGAATAGAAAACTTCATATCGCTTGGCACATTTTCACACTTTGTGCTGTTCGTAAATGGCGACTTTCCAAATATTCTAGGGCCGTTTTAATTAAGGTACAAGCTCTGGAACCGACCTTATCTACGCGACGAAGCTGGCGGTGCTGGAGAAACAACATTCGCACACGTCTGCGCACGGAAGATGAATGCTCTCTCGGTGGGGAACCGCCTCAACGACTCATCGCGATCGAGTCGAGTCGTTGGCAGCTCGTTGCTGTCTTTGCAGTCAACAGTCCCGCCGTCTGTACGCTGACCGCCGCTCAACGATCTCCTTGAAGGCCGAGCGATAACGCGTTGTCGTACATCTTCTGTAGTCGAAAATACCGAGCTGTGCGTCGTGCCGACACGTGTTCAAACACAATTCTAAGTCTCTCACGTTAGGCAAAACTTCTTCTCCACCTCCCACATTTCCCAAGGTCTAGTTGCTTATTGCGGTGCTGGTGTCAACTGTCGAGATGTCATTTCGCTGGTGGTAAAAAGTTAACCTACGTTTTGCGATACGCCTGGTCAGACTTCGTTCCTGTCCTGATATCTCACTACAAACACTTCTAAGATGCTGGAAGTGTACATTGACGAATGGTGCTGACTCAAAAGTATCTGCAACGCGGGACTTGTGACAAGAAGGAACGTGCATACGAAGGACCAGATTGAAGCGCGTTCTGCACGCCGGATACTGGCGGAGTATCCAATGAAAAGCGATGGATATCACTCACCACGAGCTCATTCATTAACTTCCTCGCCAAGCACAACACCAGATCAGGTTTCAAGATGGACAGTGCGTTGCTGCCTCATAACAACTCGGTCGATGAAGAGACGATCTCCATTGTGGCGTACGGAACGACTCCACCGTCTTCGCAGCGGTCTCGTCCGGCAGTCGAGAGCCGAAATTCGTGGAGTCCTCCGTCCGATATTCCAACAAACTACCAGCCTCCAGACTGGAACTCGGACGACGGATCTATCGTCGATGGCAGTGCCCGACGCATCGCCATCAATACACGGACGAGCAGCAGTCGAAGCAGCAGTAGCAGCAGCAGTGACGAGGTTCCACCGCCTCCGTCGCCACCTTTGGTAGGTGGCAACAGTTTTCGGAGTGCTACTGTGGATACCACGGCGTCAACAAAGTCTAGCGACTTACCACCGTCACCCCCAGCGAATACTGCGGTGGCGAACACGACAGTACG